AAAAAATGCCATATAGACTCAGATAAATCAGCTGTAGCAGGAGTCGGATCAAAGCAGTAACCACCTAGTAGATAACACGTAGACTTTGATCCAGAAAATAACATAGATGAATCCTTTGACTTAGTTAATTATTAAAAAAATCATTGATAAATGGGGAAGAGCAACAAAAAAAGCAAGTAATATAAGGACATTTCTAATTATCCTACATGTCTAATTCTTGCTTATGTTTCAACCATAATATAAAATCACATTACTCTGCTAACCAACACATATCTATGTATGTCTCATATAATTAGTTGATATATTGAAGAAATCGGCCACATGAGGATCCACAGTAGAAGAACAATTTTTACATTGCTCCACCAATCCAATCATTATCATCATAGTCACTTTCGAATCTCTTTATGCTGGTTTTCTATTGTTCTTTTTAAGCACCTTTTACATATTTTTCTATTGTTCCTATACATCATCTACTCTTTTAAGTTAATGAGTGATCCAGCACTTATAAGCCAGCTCTCTTTCTTGAATGTTTCAAGTTATAATTATTGTACCATGGATTAATGTAAAAATATACTCAACATTAAATAACATTGAATAAAAGAACTTATTACTTTATTGTAAGAGATATCAGATGATTGAATTCATGACTATAATTCAATTTTTCGACATACATTTTGAGGTACAGGAGTATTTGGTCATCCATCAGAATCAAAACTGGGAAAAAAAGGTTCCTTAATAGCAGTTTGCATCTTAAATGCCTTCTTTGGTTGCCTTACATCATTAGCCCCATACTACTTCACATATCTCCTACTCCACTTTGTAAAGGACTTGAAATTGCATTTTGATTTGTTTTCAAAAATTGGCAATAGAAAACAAATATACCACACTTTGATAGAGGGAGATAGTGATACCTCTATACTTGTAAAAAAGATTTTATTTTTTTTTTAAACTACGAAGTCCGAAATCCAACTGAGAGGTTAAAAATAAGCAAATTTATCAAGAAGTAAACAATGATGAAATGAGAGAGCCTCACTGTTCAAACAAAAAATTTGCACCATCTAAGGTATTTCTAAGCAGAATTGCAATAGTTATCATAAAATATAGATTGTTGATCTATCGCTAGATATAGATTAAAGGAATCGTTATCAATATTTTTTGTTTAGATTCGTTTGGTTATCTAATTGAATTTATCCTATTAAATAGAAGTCACAAGCTTCACTTAATTATCTTTAAATAGCATATTATAGTTTACGAAATCAGATTTAAGTTTTGGAGTACAATTACCTATGAGAAAAGTTATAATGCCTTCACAACATCCATCCAAAGAATGGTTTCAATTTGATTTTAAGTTATCTAAGCTTAAAAACATATTTATAATTTGTCAAATAATTTAATTATCGAAATTAATCCTAAAATTACTCTATTAGTTTAGTAATAATTTAAGATAATTTTTTTACCATAACAGTATTCATAAAGACTAGTGTTTCACTTTAAAGAGGCTCCATCATCAGATTTATTTAAATTTTATTTAAAGAAATCATCAATAAAACTTTCTAATAGTTTGGTAAAATTGATTTTAATGCAGATATTCTAATAGTTTGATAAGATTTTATAGTAAAATTATGTATGAAATTTATTGTAAGAAAATTCATTAAACCTTCTAATAATTTAGTAAGATCTAATTTAATATTTAAATCCTCCAATAGTTTGGTAGAATTGAAAATTTTATTATTATTTTTTTCAAAAAATTCATTATGAAATTTTCAAATAATTTGGTATAATTTATAATTTAAAATTTCTAAACCTATGAAATAAAAAATTCATAATTTAAAACTACAATCTTTAAATTTTATTTTAAACATACATAAAAAAAAGTGAAATAAATGAATAAATATATAAAAAAACAAAATGTGTAAATTACCTTAATGGATGGAGACACGTCTAGGTGAAAGTATTCTTTGATCTGTAATGGCAGATAGTCACTAAATCCAACTAAAGAGCTTTGCCACCAATTCCAACCAAAGAGCTTAAGTATAAATTATTACTCATCCATTTTTGGTGGGTCCCCCCCATTTTTTTCGTGTGTGTAGTTGATTGTTATTTATATAGAGTCTTCTGCAAAGAATTTTAGGGATTTGTATTCAATGAAAAAAATTATAGATTTGATTATGCTCTGAATTGTTTTTTTTTTTAATTTTTTTTAAATTCGGTTTAATTAATTTATGAAATTATCTTGATTTTCTTTTATTTTTAAAATCTCTCAAAATTTCTTAAATTAAATCTGACTTTAATTCTCTAATTTGATTATTTTTTAACATTCCTTTAATATTTGGAGAAATCATGTTTAAGTTTTAATTGTCGAGAACATCTTTGATTAGTGCTCAAATTATTCCACAAATTTCATTAATATGATTTATAATAAAAATTTAAAATCAAATAAATAAAAGACTAAAACATAAAAATAAATAAATAAATAAATAAGATAAACAAGACATAAAAGAGAAATGTAATAAATTGGACAATTGGCTTGGATTAGATATGAGTCCAATTTGTTTGAACCTCGAACTAAATAAGATATCTATAGCTATCATTGGGCTAATGCCAACTAAACTTCACTATATTCCTGTTAAAACAAAAATCATGAGTAATAAAAACTTTTCGTAATCTTGAGAACCAAATATTAATATTTCAATCTTGGATGGAATAATTATTAAACATAACACATCCAAATGTAAGCAATAAGAATAAACAACTAAATCCAAATGAGTGATTAATATTATTTACTAACTTCCTCGGCGCAAAGACCACGAAACTCTGCAGTCATTTCGTGAGCCAAATTTGACAACATAGCCTGTCTCTGCACTGTTGTATCTGCATTTTTCAAAAATATCTTCCGTTCAAGTGCTATTCTAGCCTGTTTAAAACTAAGCACGTTATTCCACTACTATGGAAGGTCTAATAGGAAAAGCATTTTGAAATTAATGTTGAAACTATACATGAAATGAACTATGATATGAGAAAATAAAACACAGAAACATAGAAAAATGAAGTACAGACCTAATATAAAGAACTATAATTGTACTTCACATGGAAGGTCTATAGGGTAGCACTACCTTTGTTACAGGACGTAATGTAGCAACAAGTGAAAATACAACATTAGTCAATACCACAGGTCATGGGTTGGAAGCAGCATCCGCCGCAAAAGTCCTTCTATGAATCTCTGTCAACGCATGCAATTGGAAGCCTAACGTGAAGATGAATTAACAAATTTCAACAACAAAGAGAACCTACTCGTAAATAAAAAGATTCAAACTTCTTAAATATTGCACTAACCATCTGTGCCAAAATATAGTAAAAAACTCTAATGAGCCAAATACAAATAGAACTAAGTAAAAGAGGCAAGCTAATTAATACACTTTCCCATTTTGTTTAACTTTGTTGAATTTTCTTGGCAACCAAATAGTAATTTACTTGAATGGACAAACTATTCCGAGATTATTTTCTGTCGCTGGTAACTGTGAAGGTAGGGATAGGAACTCCAATTTGCATGTCGAGGATAACAATTTCAGTTACAGCTCCATCGGGGAAGTCGCATGCATGTCAAGGTAAAGCAGACGGCTTGCAATTTTCATGCCTTTCATGGTAATTCCTATTGGGTCCTCATACTCTGGTGAGGAAGCAACTGGATAATGGTGGTTGTATTGATTTTGGTTAGGCTTTGACGAAGAAGCTTCGAAGTTATTTTAAGGACACCTTTTCAATGTTTTTCTTGGGACCTTTTTTCCTTTTCAATAATCCTGCGTATAAATAATTAAAACCCAATAATCAATGAATTCAACGCAAAAATCAACATTTTTAAACATCCAAGCCATTAAAAGGAAAAAAAACGAGGACTATAAAAACCCCATAATTTAAAGCTTTGATATGAGCTAAAAAATCAAGATCAAATAAATATGAAAATGAAAAAAATTGAGAAAATGAGAGGAAAAGAAAACGTGAAGGAGAAAAGAAAGCATGAGAAGAAACGAAATGGAGAAGCTTTTGGAGAAGTTTTAATCTTTCTCTTCTCAAAGTTGTCTTTTAATATGGTTTTATGACATTTAAAAGGTGTTGGGCAAATCACAATTGGAGACTGTTATTATACATGGTTATAAATTATAAATATGTAAATATTGAAATTGATATGATAAGTTTTCATATTCTATTTTATTATTAATTCTAAATTAATCAAAAAATTAATGACGTTTATTGTTTTAAGGATATTTTTTAGACTTTAAAAATATAATTTAATATATAAATATATATTAAAAATTAAATAAGTAATGAGTGTTTTTATTGTTAAAATTCCAATATTTCTTTTTTTTTTATTAGAAAAATTCAGGGGTAGATAGGCTGCTAAGTTTTTTAAGTCAAGATAAGATGTGCTGTATCTGACAGTCTAATATAGGTGACTGTAAGTCGTGCATTCGAGATGATCCCAACAAGTGATCACCGACATGATTCAAATCAAAAAATTTTTCATAAAAAAGACGAACTTAACCGATTGAATCAACCACTTATCGATAAATCTCAATATTTAACACACATATTATATTATATTATATTATATTATATATAGATTTTTACAGAATTAAATCAAGCTTATTTGCCATAAAAAACCATGTTTGATAAAAAATACATGATAAATTCTGATTATGATGATGTAAATGATGACATAATTAAACCTTAATAAGATTATTACCAAGAAACAAATTTGTTTTCCCTTTTCAATACAAGCTGGTTTTTAGATTAATCAGCAATACTCGAAACTAGATTGTTCCATTGAATCATAGATTACAAAATGTTTCTATATAATTAACTAAAATGTTGGCTAAGCGCCATTCCCGCCGCATTCCTTCCCAATTTACCTAAACACCCTCACCACAACAGAGATTTAACAACCTTACCCAACCTCTCTCTCTCTCTCTCTCTCTCTCTCTCTCTCTCTCTCTCTCTCAGCCATGGCTATTACGAACATCTTCATAGCTTTCCTCCACTTGCTCCTCCTTGCTCTGAAGGCACATTCACTTCCTCCATCACCACCTCAGAAGTTGGGCTGCGTGGCGGAGCTGGTGGCGTTCACGCCCTGCCTGCCATTTGTGTCAACCCCACCAAACAACGCCACTAACTCTGTTGCTCCACAATGCTGCGAAGCCTTCTCCTCTGCTTTCGAATCCGGCGATGGTTTCTGTTTCTGTTACATTCTCCGGCAGCCATTGATCTTTGGGTTCCCACTGAACAAAACCAGGGTCGCTTCACTGTCTTCGTTTTGTATGGCCAACAACGGCAATACCTCTCTGGACTCGCTCTGCTCTTCAGGTTTTCATCTTTCTTTTCTTTTCTTTCTATCCAATCGCTTTATTCATTGTTTTCTTGAGTGGAAAAATAGTAATCTTGACTCCTGATTATCAAAATGAATAAATTCTTGATCAGGAATTCATCCGGTTTCAGGCCTATAATCTTTTGACAACCAAAAATAGTTACGAAATTCTTAATTATGATTATGCATCAGGTGTACCAGCTCTGCCGCCTTTGCACAGCACCACAGATTCAGGGAGATTGAAACCTTCCAATTCTGGTAAGCAACCCCAAAACTCTCTTCTTTTTTCTTCCAAAATGATTATATTGACCAAATATAAGCCCAAATTACGTGTGTAAAGACCCCTCATAGATGATCTAATGTTACAGATTTTGTTTAAAAGATTAGTCATATGACAAAGGTTATTACCAGTCTTACGAATCTGATAATAGGCAGATATCAGAAGCCTATGAAGCCTATAGCATTAGCATTAAACTGTAATTGAAGCAGAGCAGAAGCCTTACTAAAATTATTCTACAGGTTCAGTTAATGACTCATCTGATTTGACATACTCGCCACCAGAATCTGCTGTCAGATCACCAACACTTCCTAGTTCTGTAGAACCAGCCATTGTTTCTTCTGCAGCAAACCTGATTTACAAGCACAGCTCTTGGTTTCTAATTGGAATGAAGATTTTTTTGCTCGACTACATTCACTTCTAGTCTCACAGTAGTGTAGATTTCCCAATTCATTCAATATATTACTAATGTGAACAAACATTCTGTAATCAGCAAACTGGTATGGTGACTAAGTTTCTATTAGCAAAGCATTGTTAAATTCATATTTTCACTTGAAGTGAACACTTAATTCATCACATTTCTCACTGTGAAACAAAAGCAGGCAAAGATCCTATAAAAAGAAGGGCAAAAAAGAAGTGAAAGAACCCTTGAAGGATTAGTGTTTCACTTCTAGCCGTCAGACCCACTCAACTTCATCTGATAGAGGTTTGATAGTTTCAGTTGGCGTGGTGTCTTCACCATATCCACTTTCAGCAGTGATACTTTCATCCTGGTTCCAGCAATCATCCTGCATTGAAACTTCATCAATATACTCTTGCCTTTCAGGCAGAGCACAACCCAGATAAGAGTTGTTATCTGCACAACGCCATATAAGCTTGCTCCAGTATGGATCCTGCCATTCATTTTTAATTCAAAAGTCAGCGAAACATAAAAACTGAATTTTAGGCCTTAGGTATGATAAAATGCCTATGATATTTCTATGGTAGATGACATTATTAGATATAACACATGAACCTTACATTTGATGAATACTATTCTTCTAGTATTCTCTCCCTCACTCACTCTCTCCATAATACTGTTTCTTTTGAATAGCACATAAAAGCGTACGTATGTTTAAAAAAAAAAAAAAAAGAGTAGCAACATATTTTCAATATACAAAGACGTCAGTTAGACAACTTCAAACACTGCTAAAATTTTCAGAGACAACTAAAGAAAGGACTAAGGAGTGAAAAACCAGAAATTTGCAGTTTTAACATGATTGTGCAAATGGCAAATGCAGGGAAAAACTGGTAAAGCTCCCATAACCTTTGTCAAACTCCCTTATTTTCATTCTTAAAAAGCCATCTATCTCTAACATTCATGAAAAATAAGTTTATGCTTTTGGTAGATAATCTACCAATGAACTGGAGTTTCAGGTGGTTGCCTTCATCTCAGAAGTTTTGCGCATGGACAGGGTGTGCTATAACTATAAAGAACTAAGCAATAAAATGTTTCAATAGGCACCCACCTAGCTTAAAATACAGATATATAATAAGTTCCTAAAGAGGTACTTCGAGGATATATATGATGCACAAGCAAAAATTTTCCTGCATTATTCCCAAGAATTAAAAAATATAGTAACAATAAAATAAGATCCTCAACTTTGTTTTCTCACTTCTTAGTCTCACAAGGTTTTATTCACAACTACTGGATAGTAAATGACAACCTCAAGTGAATGTTGTACCTTGGCAATTATGTGCGGATTTCCAACAATAACAAGCAAAGCTATTGCACGGGTAATGGCAACATTAAACCTTCTCGGATTGCTCAAAAATCCCAAACAGTGGGCTCTGTCAAATTCATTGTGTTTGACTGTTGATCGGACAGTAGATATGATAATAACTTTTCGTTCTTGTCCTTGAAATTGTTCAACGCTTCCAACCTTGATATCAGGTATTTCAAGATTCTCAAAGGCCTTGTTTAGTTTGAGAACTTGCTGCCTGTAGGGGGTTATGACCCCAATATCCTCATGGCTCACAATCCCACTTGCTGTCAGACTCGTGACAATCTCTACAACCTTGCTGGCTTCAATCCGATTGAACCATGACGGATTACTACCTTCCCTCTCATCACAGCCTTGGATACCAAAGAAAAAGACAGGAAACTCCTTATTAGGAAGAAACTTCACTGATTTCAAGAATGAAAGTTTTTCATCTTTGCAAGGGATTAATTCACCGTTGTAGAAAAGCAATGAAGGGAGATATAGAATCTCTGGATCACAACGATAGTTTCTAACCAATTTTGTTACATAATTTTCATCCCCTACAGAATAAAACTCGCATTCAAATAGCCTTTCTAAGTATGATTTTCCCAGTCCGAAAGTCTCCGTTTCTCTTGAGTATATAACTGGACCTAATTGCATTGGGTCTCCAGCAAGCACAGCAACAGTCTCTCTTTGGCAAAGGTTGGCTATAGGGATCATGCTTTCTGGCTCTGAAGCTTGACCAGCTTCATCCAAGAAAATATGAGAGAAATGACCATTACTAACATTTTCTACATACAGAAGGGAAGCACTCATGTAAGTTGATATGATGATTCTGTAGCAGGTGAGAGCACAAAGTGGAGGACATTTGAAGACAAACTCATCAAAGAAGCAAAACCTAAGAATATCAGGGTTGACATCATTGTATGGACGCGCAGCTGCATTTAGTCTAAATATTTCATTCTCTTTAAGCTCAACAGACTCCTCATTGAGGAGTCTATCTAGTATAAAATCTGCTGCACTATTTGAAGGTGCACACACAAGAATTCGAGAACACTTTTGAGTTTTGTAGAGCTGAAGGATTGCCTCCACTAATGTCATGGTCTTCCCTGTACCTGGAGGCCCATAAATCACATAAGGGGGTCCTCCTTTGCAGCCAAGGATCATCTCAATTGAGCACATCTGTTCCTCATTAAGTGTACAAGATATGGGCACTAGTGGAGTGGTTTTAATCAGCCTCTTTTTCGGGGACTCAGATGGAAAAAGGAGATTTAACTCTAAGCGTTCTGCAGCATCAATGGCCTGGTATTGCCTACGCATATTGATTCGGTTATACGTAAACTGAACGTTATAAAGATTCTCATCTATGTGGAACATATGAAATTCTGTTGCAAACTTCAAATACACTTCATCAGCTTCTACCCGATGAACAAAACCCTGAAAATCACCACATTCACTGGTAAAAGGGCCAGAAGATTCAGGAAAAAAAATAAAAGTGCCAGATGACTGGAAAGACTAAAATGAAAATGATGGAAAAGGAAAGAGTAAGAGAAATATCAGAATATTCATACCATATATATAGATACTGAGATTCACATATTAAGACAACCCTCTAACCCAGTTAATATTATGCAGTCATGGATAGATGCATGCCTGTTTATACAGATTATGTTGATCACAGGTATTAAATTACAAGTATGCATTACCTACTAAAAATGAAAATACCTTGGTCTTCTGTTTTTGGTGATCCAAGATGCTTGATCTTGAATGAAGTTAAGCATCAAAGTATCAAGTCACATATAGGCCTAAATGACATGGCAGCTATAAAAGACTCAGGCTGTCTAGAATCATTCAAAAATCACAATTCACACTTCACATAAACAGGCCGGAAGTACTTCAATGCTAAAAGGAAAAAAACATATAGTATTTTGCATGTGAACAGACCTGATAAACTCGAGCTGTTTCACTTGCATCTTCACATGCAAGCTTAGCAAAAATATGGTCTCCATGGACAAGTGAAGGCCTTCTTTCAGCAAGTCCTGGGACCTGAAGTGATAAAAACTTTCCCTTCTTCCTCATGTTAACATCCTCCATGTTATAGGCCCTCATGTCTTCCTGAAGCCAAAAAAATAAAAAAAGAATGAAAGAATTATGAGCTGAAAATAAACAATAATCCATATCATGAATATTAACCTTCTTCACTGCTGAAAATTTTAGTTACCTCTAGTTGTAACTCTTCCAAGATTAAGAGATGTTTGAAGTAAGATGCATAATTATCTCTTGATAGACCTGCTTTAATAGCATCAGGAGTCTGCTTACTCTCAAACAGTTCTCTAATATCCTTTGGAATGGCATACAAAGGAAGCCTGTTTTTAACACTTCGATCCGTTGCCCTTGCTGGGCGTGATCCAGTGACAAATGCATCCACAGAAAATTGCTTCCTTCTCTGAACTCTAGAATATGGCTTTTTAGATGCCAACGATTGTGCGATCTTATCTTCGACCAAGAGAAAGGCCACTCTTTCTAATCTATCAGCCTCCACATCAAAATGCAGTATTGTAGTGTGCAAGCCAATTTCCTTTGCTTTGCAAGACAGCCAAATACTTAAAGTCTCTCCAGGCTGTATCATTCTGTCCTCTAAATCAAAAAATTCAATGAAACCTTGGCTTGTATTTCCATCAGAATTTGCTGATGGAGGTTTCATCAAAGAAAGAGTGAAAGAATTCTCAGGTGTTGATGCATAAATTTTTGTCCACAAATCAATTGGTTCACTAGTGGTGTTTTTGATAGTGATCAAATCAAAGGCAGTTTCTCCCATAACTACAGATTGAGGCTTCCCATCTAAAAATGGAAATGGTGAAGAAATTATGACACGGCCCTCCTCAAGTTGATTGTAATCACAAACAGATTTATCATACTCATAATCAATGAAATCAATTTCTCTTTTGTCTCCAATGACGGAATATTCATCATCCAACTTGTGACCTGTTGTTCCCATCACTAACCAGAAAGGCAGACACTGGTTTGAAACAAAATTCATAATATGCAATCGTTAGACACTTATCAAAGCAGGCAGACACATAAAAAATAAAGCACACTACAATTGCAAAGAATGAAAACCAATTTTCCGCATTATTAGCAATAAAAACGATGTGGAATTCCGGATTAAAGCAAAAGCAAGGCCTAAAGATACAGATTTTTTTAAACACCCACTTTTGTTTATGAGCAGTAACCAATAAACCCATTAACAGGACAATGGCAAAGCAGAAAAATCAAGTTTAAGCATTTTAATTATCACCGGAAAAGAAAAAAAAAATCCCAACTTTTCAAATTCAGCAATACAAAAAAAAAAAAATCATATACATTAATACAAGAATACACAATGCGTAAGCTTGAGTTTGTGTAAGAACCAAAGAGGAAAGAATCAAATTACAACATCATCAGCAACAACAATCATGTAGAATTCAGGATCGAAGGAAAAGCAAGACGATAAAGATGAGGTTTTTCTAATCACCAGAGCTCTTTATGAGCAGAAACTAATAAACCCACAAACAGGACAATGGCAGTCGACAAGAAGATAGAGAAATGAAAAGAAGGGAAACAAAAACATAAATATAATCAAAGGTTAAGCATTTCCATTATCATCAGACAATAAAATCTCAACCTTTTTCAAATTAACAATGCAAAAAGTACAAAAATTTAGAGTACGTGAACATGTATAAATGTATAAAACAATGAGGAAAGAAAGCTTGAGATCAGAGATAACAAAAAAAAAAAAACCTACCTCAGCAGAAACCAAAGCTAGAAAATTCAGTGAAAGAGAAGGTAACGAAAGAAGAAAAGGGTCAAGACTCAATGTAGATAAAGAATACACAGTGTATTGAGAGAGTTGGGGAGGAAACATAACAAACCTTGAATAACTTTTCTTGATAAAACCAAAAGAAAGAGACAAATTTTAACTATTTAAAGGAAATTTAAAAAAAAAGTATGACCCATCAATCAGTATGTTTGATCCCGCAAATACGTAAACATTTGTTGTTTCCTGGCAAAAAGGTTCCTTCGAGTAGTTGACGAACGTACACAGACCCAACTGAGGAAAATACAAGTGTCACGGATCGAGATTTAAACTTCGAATTCGTGCGGTTTCGTGACATAAGTATTTACTCATTCGACGTCTCAGATCAGTTTATCTGTCACGGTTCACATTCTTGTGAGGTATTATTTATTTTGACCCCTTTAACCTCATGGTTTTATCCTATAAAAGGTACCTCACAAAGAAAAGATAGTGTAAACCTTTTTATACCTCAGTGACCTTTTTATTATGTTCGATGTGAGATTCAGAACTCTTTTTTAGATCCGTGACATTTTCTCCTACCCAACTTCGTGACGCTCAAGACAAGTAGTCAGGGTGATCAACTTTCGTGACGAAGACGTCATAAAATTGAGTTAGAGAGAATGTCAAGGACCTAAAAAAGAATCTTGAATCTCACATCGCACATAATAGGAGAGTCACTGAAATATAAAAAGATTTACACCATCTCTTCGTGTCTTTTGTAGAATAAAATTATAAAATCAAAAAAATCAAAATAAATAATACCTCATAAAAATATAAATTATAACTATTAAATTAATCTAAAAAACTAAAATAATAAATATTTAAATCTCAAAATCACACGAATTCAAAACTTAAATTTTGAAACGTGACAACCTTCTCCCTCCCCTCTTAAAATGTTGATATATTGAAAATATTTATCTTTTAGTAGTTTTTATTTTGGCTATTAATATTCCTATTTTGGTTTAACTACGAAAAGAGATTGACGTGGTTGAATCCTATCGGCTTGTACGATTATTTTGGCCAATTGGCTTGAAAACATTGACAGAATGAATAGGCATAAGGATTCCAAGATTTTGGATTTTAAGCAGAGAAAGCAGCAGAGTCCGTACAGTGGGGCCTATTAAATCTTTTCTTGCTTTCTTTTGATGAAAGAGAAGAAAAGGTTTCACCTGGAATTTTTTTTTTCTCACTATATTTTGAGAATTTTTATTTATATTTTTCCAGTTTCTATTGGCAAATTGATATGAGTTTATCCCTTAATATAAAATTACAATGATTACAAGTTTTATAAAGAAAAATAAAATTTTTGAAAAAATTTAAAACAAAAAATTAAGAATAATCGAAACTGACTAGGAAACTTTTTGTTGATGAAGTAGAGAAAATAAATCTCAAATTCATTAAAAATGTACAGCTTTAATGGGAGACTAATAAGTTATTGACATGATTTGAGTTATACTACCATGTTTTTTCACTTTTTATTTTTAAATTTTTGGTTCACAAAAATATGTTGCAATTAAAATGAAAATTAAGTGAACTTTTTGAAACAATTGAATATTATCTCACATAATATATTATTAATTAAAGTTTTTGAAAGTTGTGAATTTAAAAAAATTAAGTGCATAATAATTTCTCATAATTAAAATTTTAAAGAGAAAAAGACATTTTATATTGTGAATGAAATGGAAGTTAAAAGATGAGTTATAGCAATAGCTCGGTAGACAATGGCCATCCCATGATGTAATTTGATTTTTTTTTTTTTTTTTTTTACTTTTCTGTCTATTATTTATGAATACATTTATCAGTACTATTTCTAGGTATAAAATCAATTAATTGATTGTGAAAATCAAGTTATATTACAAATTTAGTAATTAACGAAAAAATATATAAAGAAAGGGAGTGGGACCCCTAATTTGAAAGTCCAAAGCTTTATAAAACAGTGGAATGGTAAAATCAAAAGGTCATGTATATATTTGTTGGCAATATTGCTTGACATAAATAGTAAGGCAAATCACATGCCAAACTTCACTTTTTTCATGTACTCTCTTTTTCTTCATAAGCCGCAGACTCCATTAAATCACAAACCAATACTATAACAATTGGTGAACTCAAAAATAAAATGTGTACAGCTGTGGTATATGAGATATCAATCAAAGTTTTTCCTGCTACTTTGCCAGCTGCTTTGTTTTTTTTTTTTTTGAAAGCCTAAGACATACCTCATTTCCTGCTATTTCGAAAGGTACTTAGCTGGCTTCAAAGATTCCTTGGTGGTTTCATAGATTTGGTGGCTCATGGCATCCATCTTTAGAACACTTTACTCACCCTTGTGTTTAGCTTCCTCTTTACAATTCTCCTTTTGTGTGCTTACTGTTGCCCTATGATTTTTTTTCCTTCAATTCATAGAAGGGATATATAAAGTGTACGAAAATTTTAAGTCTAAAAACGAAGACAAAATAAAGTGTTGGATAGGGTTTTCATTTTTTAATAAAAGAAACAACAATCCAAAAATAAAAAAAAAAAGTATTAAAATTTAAAACTCAAAATTATTGAATATTATTTTTGAAAAGTGATAAAATATTTTAAGATGAAATAACATTACTCTTTATGACTTCCGTTGCATGAAAGTTAACTTATTAAATAAAATGAGAATAAAATCCAAATTTACCGCTTTTATTTAAGGTGATGGACCAATTTATCATTAATTTTGGAATGGATGAAATTTAACATTATAAAATTACTTTTAATTTGATTAAAAAATATTGCTTCTCTTTTGGCATATTTTGGTGATCAGCAATTCGATGGTTTCGGAACCTTTGGGCTTTTAGGCTAATCATCTTTTAGGATTCTCGAGCTGTAAGTGAAAACTTGTAACAGCAATATAAAATGAATAAATAAAGCATTAAGTTGATAAAAACAGTAACATAGTGAAATGCTCTTGGGGAGGATCAGAAATTGATTTGAAAATTTGGATTGGAATCCTTTCCTGTGAATCCCACACCGTTTATATTCAATCTTTTTGTTTACCATTTATTTGCTTTTTCCCAAATCTATTTTTAATGCGTCAAGGGTTTTTGATTAAGCTTTGCAAGCAAACTAGAGACGAGCCAAGACTCAAGCCCGAAAAGGTCATGTCATATGCTTTCATCTTATCTTCTTTAGTGGAACAAACTTCCCAGCATAAGAAGCCACCAATACTCTTTAAGAGACAAGATTGGCTCCCCTAAGCTCAAAGACTTCCATTTCAAAATAAAGTATCATCAAATTTCCAATATTTTCCACTTCAGAACATAATCAAAGCAACAGATGAGGGTAAATAGTTTTTAATGCTAAGTTTTGGCTGCCGAGACACATTGTTTTGTAATGGTACATGGTAAATAAACATCCAGAGCGGAAGTGCAAGTACATGATAAAATCTTCAGGCTGAAGCAACTGCGACATCCTTGACAGATTCACGCCAGGCATACTCCCTTGCTCCGTCTTTGTCGACGATCTTGATGACAAAGTTTGGTGGTGCCACAACCAGTCTTGATCTGATCTCCATTATGCATTTATCAACCAAATCAATGGCTTCTTCCACTGTCATGCCACTGTGGTAGTGCCTGTCCATCATAGAGAGAGAAAAGTAGGATCCATAACCAAATGCCCCCTTATCAACCTTGTGAAGTGTGGCAATGTAGTCAATATAGTACAGAGACGGGCCAGTCTCTTTATCATAGCCAGCAAGAAGGATGTTCACAAAGTATGGGTTCTGGAAAAACCAAATGTCATTGTTATCTATGGTAGAAATAAGAAAAAGCAGGTAAGCAGGAGACTAAATTCAGAATTCTCTTGGCACAAGCACAGAATTAAAAAAAAAGTCTCATGCATGGACGCGTGCATATCTTAGGTGCATTCAAATGTACTTAAAAAGCAACAAGAATGCATATACCTTATGCAATTACCAACCACTTGAAGCTGAAGATCAAAATTTTCAGTGACGTGTTATTAGATAGTTTTTATTTCTACAAAAAGACATGACATATCCACAGCAAGGCTCAAGACTAAATACCTACATCTTACCTTTTCTTCATTAATTAATTAGTTCAATTTGGTTGAACAAAGGTCATAAAAATAAATTCACAGCTAAAAGTAAAGTAAACATAGACACAACCTAAGAAGGAACTTCTTCAGAAATAGAATTTGCAAGATTCCAAGACCACAAAGACCAATAAGCGCACTGAACCCCAGGACACAGCAGCTGACCAGATAAAGAAGAAACAGAGACATGGAAAAGAACTAAATATTTTAAGAGTCATCATTGGAACCCCAAAAGATAACAAAATATTTTCATTGTACTTCAAAATTCCTTAGCCTGTTCCTAACCTAATTCCTAATTCCACCAAAACAACATGGATTAATGCCATAAAGCTTGACAAGATGTTCAACGAGAAACCACATCCTACTTAATTGAAGTGAGGCATCATAGTGTCATTGATTCATGCCATAAAAGTATCAACCCTATATTGAACCGTATATCAACCTTACATGGTATTATAACTTTCCAGTTCTAAATTCTAGTTTAAGCAAGCAGAGGTGATTGTCTTGTAGAAACACTCAAGGAATATTTCGTCTAGCCTTGTTTAGCATGTCCCTAAAGCAAGTGTTCTGATTACCAAGTTCCAATACCCACCCGTCACAGATAACACCAGGTTTAATTGCTTCTTTTCCGCCGAAAAGAATACATTTACAAGAATCTCATACAAGAACATATGGAATAGGAAACCACACAATTTTATATGATTCTAGTAAGTCACACAAATCAGACACAAAATCTCCAAAATGTACAGCTAAAAGGCAAAATAAAACCTCGGGTCAAGATGACTCCGCATCCAGTAACCTTAAGCAATATAAAAAAATCCAGTGGTCAAAATTAATTTGTTCAGCTAAGAAGAGAAAATTGTTTCCAAGCAAGTTCAGACCTCCCTATGGGTTAGCTAAGCATTTCATTTCAATCACCTGGTTGCAGAAAGTAGTTACTAATTAATATTAACCAGGAATCTCCTAAAAATGGTTATAAATAAATATGCAGCTCCAAATAAAAGGCGTAATAAGAGCTCAATTCTTTCCACTGAAGGCTTTCAGTTTGATAGTCACGGTTTAGCACTCATTAACAATGTTGCATCTCTAGTTCAATGTGTTTTGCTATAAATGGGCAAAGAAGTGATGCCACCAATTCTGTTAAAAGAGGGAACAAATCATATATTAGGCTACACCAATTCTGTTAAAGCTTTATTGTATTTAGTGATTGCTGCAATTCTAGAAGCCTACAAGCTCTAACTCCTCAAACCCTTTCAACAAATTCTACAAAATTTCAACCTAACAAATGTCACGGAAAATTGCAATTAGTCGTACATACAAAACTGTCAAAACCCTAATTTGAAGTCAAATCCCTTAATTGAAACTGTAAAAAGTAAAATTTATACCTTCCTTAAGGCAGTCGCAAGTTCACCGCGAGTGAAATTGGCAGCGGCAGCAGTCGTCAAAGGAATACCGTTTCGAAACTGATACAAAGCCACGTTTTTCTGTATATACTCCGTGAATTGTACTCTGTAGGACAAAAAAGGTTAAAAATTTTTTCATTTAAAGTTTATTAGGATGAATAAATACGGAGTATATTCATAAGGAGAAAAAGAAAAAGAGGGGAACCTGTCGCCCGATTCACCGCTAGCGGCGATGAGTTTGTGAGAATCGAGGATCATGATCTTGTCTTCGTTAGATTTGTGGACGAGGATGCTGTGAACTGCCGATGTGTCGGCCGCTACTATGGCGAAGCCATTGCCTACTAAACCGAACACGCACTCCATTTTTACTTGGATTTGATTTTTGAGGTATTTGAGTTTTTTCGCTTTTGTTTTTCTGTTTTCTGTATTTAATGGAAGCTGTCTTGAGGAAGAAGCTGTTCTTAAAGGGGAAAAATGGGAAGGACTGAGGGCTATTGGGCCACCACGATCCTTTTGTAAATGTGGGAGACCCAATACGGCCCATTGAATGAAACATGGCCTTGCATCCAAATATTTGGTCTTAAATTAATATGAAGTAGTCGTATCTATTTCTATTCTATTCTATAACCATAATGGCTATAATGTCCAATTCGAACCATCATAGTAGATTAAAGGATTGAAGGTTTTTATTTTTTAAAAAATAAATCCAAGGTTTATGATGATATTTTTAGAGGTGGATTTATATGGATAGAGTGTTTATGGACATTTTAAAAAATTAAAAAATAAAAAAAATTAAGGAAAAATTTTTTAAACACTTTCAAATTTTTCTAAATAATTTTTTCGTCATTAAAATTGATAAATTCATTAATAATTATATATATATATTATAAGTTGATATTTTTAAAAAAATCTTAATTCTATCACTAGATATTTTCATCTTTTTTTAATTTTTAAGAAAAGAGAGAAAAATGAAAATAAATGTGTTGGTTAGTAGAAGACTGAGGAAAAGTGAAGAAGAGATGGTTGATCGACAACGAAATACGGTATGTCAATGTGGTTTGAATTTATTCTATTTCTTTACTGATTTTTATAAAAACTATATATAATTAGAAAAGCTTTTAATATTAAATAGAATAAAGTCTTAAGATGAATTTGGATCTTTTAAAATTTAAAAGAAAATGGCATGTATTGAACTTTTCATGGATTTACCTTTTTTTTTCAAAATAGGTTTTGGCCTTTTTCCTTTTTATTTTTTTTGTTGTCTTAACTTTTAATTTTTTTTTTAATTTAAACTTAAGTAAAAACATTTATAGATTTTTTGTCAAAACAAGATATAGGGAGAAATGAGAAAGAAAAATAATAGAAGTATGAAACCTTCACCATTTTCTTTTCTTCTGTATATATTCTTCTTTTTTTCTTAAATGCTTTCTTTAGATATGTTATTATATTCAAAAATATTTCTTTCCATTCAAAATGTTGATCTTCTAAATTTATTATAATTTTTATTATGAGTTAATTTATCAATACGTGGTGCAAACATTAAGATATATGCAAATTTCTTTAAAAAAACAAAAAAAAAAGATATGGTAATTTTTCATAGAGGACAGGAAAAGTGATTGTAGGTGTAAGGATTCAAACTCCTAACATATTAGATATCACATCTTAAAAGACGATTGTAAGGATTAATTGAATTTCAATTATTAAATAAATAAATAAAAGTTTTAATTGGACATAAGTTATTGGAGATATATATATATATATTAATTAATAATATATGTTTTTGATGATTTTTTTTTATATATTCACTACGAGAAAAAAGGATTTTATCGATAGAATTTTTCATCAATAGTTTAACTTTTGTTGGTAATACATTTACAGACGGAGTTTACCGATAAAAAATTTTGTCGATAGTAAGCAAGTTGGTAATATTAATCTATTGGTAAATATAAAATTTCGTTAGTAATTACCAACAAAATTTATCATCGATAAATATTTTGTTGATAAAAATTTCGTCAGTAATTGCATCAAAAATTCATCGGTAAAAATTCTGTCGGTAATTGCGTCTGAAATGCATCGATGGTCCATCATTAATTGGTTGATAATCGGTCAGTAAATCTATCGGCAATTTCTGATTTCTATTGCTAAAACTTGAATTCCATCAATGAAATCTATAGATAACATTATAATTTCATTGATAATTTGATTAATTCCATTTATAATTATTTAAGAAACCTATAAATTAAAAATAAAACATGTGTACTTATTTTAAAAGTCTATTATTTGTCTATTATTATTAATTAAAAGATCAAATCCACATTATAAAGTTTATCTACATAAATTCTAAATTAATCCAAATTATAAAGTTAAATCCATAAGATCCAAAATATAGTACTAAAATTTGTAAAATCTATCATACAAGTTTTGAAAAATACGTCACGTGCTGCAACATCTGCTGATTCAGAATTTGCATTACCCATGAATCACAATACACAACCAGAATAACAAAGCAAGTTATGTAACATTTTTCACTTTTAAATCTTTGCATCTCAAAACACACAAGATATTATTTATTTCAATAAAGCAAGGTAGCAATTTGAAAGTATTCACAAAGTCATTGGAAAGTCACATACACTGACAACTTTGGACTTGTTGTTAATGAAATCATTATGTTTTCCTGAACATCTGTGAGTGCGATTGAAAACTTCTGTAATGTGGGTTTTCATTGCAACTTAAATGACTACATTCATTTAAAGGCATTCAATGAAATATGTAACAATGCAATTTATATAAAATTGACATTTGATGATAAAAATAACTTGTGAAAAAAATCATACCATTCTTTTTATATAAAAAGGAAATGCAATTGAGCCATTAGTGTGCTTTATAATACTTTATTATCAAGCATCAAATTCTTCACTAGCATAAAAACTTTACCCTATATCAGCCCAAGACCAGTAAAAATCCCTTGAATTATTTTTAAAATTGTTAAGCTAACCGATGATTGCTTAAAATAACTACCAACACCCATTTGTTAGTAAAATTAGTTAAATTGCACAAATTCTTCAAAAAACAAATAACAATAAGAAAAGTATGAATAGTAAAAAGTATGTCATACTTATCTTTTAGTGGAATAATCCATCCCTAATTATCTAGATTTGTAGGAATCGATAAGCATTTGTTTGCCCCTTAGTCCTTTGCCTTGTTATTGTCCCTTCTTCTTCTCTAAATGGTGGTTTATCGATGAATGATGGATTTACATTATGCTCTGTCGATAGATCATCCATTATCGGTGTGAAAGATGGCCTGTATGGTAGATCATGTTATATTGATGCTGAAGATGACTCGTATAGTGGATCATGCTATATCGATGCTAAAGATGATTTGGTATGTATATTGCCTCTCACCGATCCTGCTATGGAACCATCTAGGTAAACAAAGCTATTTGCATGACATCTCATCATAACTGTCATATAGAATAAAAAAATTCCATAAGTTTTCCAAAAGCACAAAGAAAAAACAAACATATATAATATTACTTTAGTATTACAAAATTAGATGAAATAAGCAAAATATATAAAAAAAGCATATAAAACATTATACTTAAAATATGGCAAATAAAGTATTATATTTAACTTTACATATATTGACAACATTAAATAAACATTATATACAACATTGAATAAACATTATATACAACATTAAAAGTCATACTAAATACATCAATCGCTGCTAGAATAAGCAAACTCATGTGTTTTATCATCAGCATTATCATCATGATCATGATCATAATCATAATCATGATCACTATCTTTTCTTCTTTGGTTGAAATTATTTGTAATAAATCTATCTCTTCATAATCATCAACAATAAAAAATTGTAGGATTATCAAGTTTTTCTAACATAGTAACATTTTGTGAAATAAAAACTTCAACTTCTTGGTACATGTCTTCATCTAAATTAATTGTTTGTTCTTCATCTCTATCAATACTACTTAGCCGATACATACTCCTAACTTTTATTTTGAAAACTACCCACAAATCATTTTGATCTTTTTTGTAGAATGATAGCTTGTATAAGAAACTTGATGTGCTTGTGTAGCTAAGACAAATGGTTTATTACTAGCAAGTATTGAATTGTGTTTAATTTACAAGTCCATGATGAGAATCTAACCTTACCCTTTTATCTGTGTCAAACTAGCGACATTTAAAAAGCATAACCTTATTCTTTACTCCAAAATACTTTAACTCAATGATATGTTTCCAAGATACAATAAAAGTTATGCTTATAATCATTGTAACAATAGGGGAGTCATACTTAACTATTTTTTGAAATTTTATCTCTTTGCCTTCTAAAAGGATGATTAAAGGCAAAAATTGACGATGACAATAAAAAAACAAGGTTTCTTACCATGAGCCAATCAAAAAAATTTTCTTGTCCCATGCAATAAAAACATGATAAGATTCATGAATACTTTACCTAGATAATATACCATATGTAAAAAAATCATTAATTGTCCATAAAATAGCTGCCTTCGAACAAAAATTTTGTTTTTTATAATATCATAAGTCAGAACACTATTTGATCACAATATTCTTAACTCATCTATTAAAAGTCTCAATAAAACATCTATATTTTAACCTAGACTACTTTTTCCTAGAATGACCATATTTAACAAAAGATGTTCTCGTTTCATATACAACTATTTGCACCTATACCACTCTCATTACTAGCCAATAAGAGTATGGTTTCGCATTTGGACCAACTAGACAAAAATCATCTGCACGTAATCCTAATCTTACATTTCAAAGTTCAAGTGCAAATGATTCATGGTTATGGTTGAAATATTCCAAAGCTTCACCATTAACAGGATGTTGAAGCACATAATCATGATTTTTATTATAAGGGTACCATGTCATATATTCAGTAGTTTTAGTTGATATATAAAATCTTTGAAGTCTCGGTATCAGTGGCATATAATGTAAGATTTTATAAGAAATTTATTTTTTTCCTCTCACCATCAGACTTGTTCATTAAATATCAAGAATGACCACATACTAAACAATATGTCAACTTTGCTGCTTTCTTATAAAACAAAATGCAATTGTTTTCACATACATGAATTTTTTTATTTTCCAAGTCCAAGTTTTGTCATTTTTTTCCATTTTATAGAAGTTTTTTGGTAATTTATTATCCACCTAGCAACATATCCTTCATTATGCTCATCATACGACAAAAAGCATGACTCATTCATTTTAAACTTTGATTTACAATTTAAAAATTATGACATAGCATAGAAGATTACATGTTTCATATAACCTAACCATAACGATTCATCTACATCATTCAACAAATAATAGAAGCTTACTATGTCTGTACTTGGATTTTCTTGTTAATTCTTGCCTCACTAGTATGAGAACATCCACCCTAAAATCAGGATAGATAG